GCAGACACAGACACCCACAGCTAAACACTGAGCTGAACTCTGGAATCCACTTGCTTAGAGGGAGGAGTGATGAGCAAAGGGGTCAGAAGCAGACTGGAGGTACCCACAGGGACAGTTGACCTGAACGAGGGGTTGCTCATAGACTCCAGACTGATAGCTGGGAAACCAGCATAGGACTGTTCCAGACACCCTGAGCGAGGATGTCAGTTTGGAGGTCTGGGCAATCTATGGGGCCTCTAGTTGTGGATCAGTATTTATCCCTAGGACTTTGGGAGCCCTATTCACATGGAGGGATAATCTCTCAGCCTAGACACATAGGGGAGGGTCTAGGCCCTGCTCCAAATGATATGACAGACTTTGAAGATTCCCCACGGAAGGCCTCGCACTCCCCAGAGAGCAGAAAGGGCTTGGGATGGGGGGTGAGGGGGCAGGGGAGGAGGAGAAGGAGAGGGAACTGGGATTGACATGTAAAAGAAGCTTGTTTCTAATAAAAAAGAAAATATAGAAGTAGAGAGGATACAACAAATTACTATTTACTAATAACTGGTAAGTTGGGGAATGAATGCAAAAAGGCTCATGTGATTCCATGTAGTGTACATCTGTTTGAAAATTTATCATAAAAAATCCAGGTACATGGAGGGACACTGAAAACTTTTACTGCTGCTTATTCTAAATGGTAAAAAACCTATCACCATGCTTGGGCACAAGTTTTTTCTCTAAAGAAATGCCAAATATAGTTTTGAGTACATCTTCTATTTCTTCCTCCTTCAGACTCTTAAACTCCACAAGATCTACATTGTCCTTATAACTGAATTTCCTATAGGTGAGGGTGCAGCCCACTAAACAGTGAACCCCTTCTGGGGTCTGCAAAGAACAAAATGATTTGCTTGTAAACACGGATGCTGGTGATGTCTGAAGGTAGGCATTGATGGACTCAAAGTCCTCAATAGTACGGGGTTCAAGAGTAAAAGAATAGATCTTTCTGTATTTGTTCTTCTCAAGGAGGTCTGAGTTAACAAATTCTTGGTTTGGAACATATTGTTCTCTTCTGATTTGGTCCAAGTACCAGGTTTCATTCTCTTCTGTCAAACGGAAGATGGCAGGCACTTGAGGCTGGTCCTTCCCTGAGGCTAACTCCAGAGGCTCCCACATCTGGAGGGAACGTCCAAATCCAGCATCAACAATGTAGTTCCTGTCACTGATGGTCACCTGTACTAGAAGGTGAATCATACCACTGCTATACTTATTAGCTGGAGTGTTAAAGACATACCCTCCCAACATTGTGGTTTCAAAGCCCATTTTTGTCAGAGCCCAGTACAGGAGATGATTAACCTGAAGACACCACCCACCCCTCTTCTTCTTCACAATTTGATCAAAGATAGTCTCTAAGCCCAGCTCCATGGATTCCCCACAATGGATGTTCAAGTTCTCAAAGGGAATAGTTTGTATCTGGTGCTGAAGGATTTCAGTTAATGTTTGCAAGTCCAGTTTGTTCCTGGAATTCTGATAACCAATCCTTTCAAAGTACGCGTCAATGTCCATGGTCCCCTAGGGCAAGGAAGACAATCCAAAACAAATATTACTACTTTTGTTTGTGGATTTACTGGAGTGGGATAACTACAGTTAAAACTCATTTTCAACAAATAAATATAGACAATGCTTACAACTATCTATGTTTATCTTGCTCCTGTTAGATGAACTGACACACAATCAATGTTCAGAACACTTAGACAAATGTTGACTCTTCTTAGTGACATAGGATGAACTTTTTTTTTTCATTTCCTTGAAATACAGGTCAGATTGTGAGCCAGACAATAAACTGCTTAGATGGAGGATGTTCTGCACTTTTTCTGTGTGTACTCAGGTACCAAGTAAGAAGCCAGACAAGGATAAGTAGCAAAACAATTCCAATCAGAATCCATTAAAATATGCTTCTGAACAGTTGCCCACAGAATCAGGAAAATTGTGCACAACAGTACTCATAGGTGTCGTGGTACCATTTACATAAGTATTAAACATCTAACACTCATAGAGAACAAATGGAATTTAATTAGATGTTCTCAACCATGTTTGGCTCCTTATTTCTACTGAATCTATGAGAGAGAGAGTAGAATGTGTGGTGGTTTGTGTGTGTCTAGTCACCTGTTGCTACCCCAGGAGTGGGGAAGAAGGGTAAAACAAGAATCCATGGAAGATGGGACTGTAACAAACACTTGGAAACAAATTAGAGGCATTACAGTGAAATAACAGAAATATTGATATAAGCAATAGTCAGGTTTTGTTTTTTGTTTGAAGACTAAGTTTAAATTGGAATTTACATTTAGTAACTATAGATTCGTTATAATTACATCAGTTTTTCTATGGGCTCAACATTAGCTATATGTTGTAAACAAATCATACCTGGGTATCCTGTGACTAAATATATTTCAATTGTATATTGATGAAGCTGGGTAAAATTCAAGGTAAAATTCCGTGAGTTCCTGGAGAGTAGTTGCTAGGGAAGGAGATGAGTGAAAATACGATTAGGTTCGCATGCAGGCTAGCAGAGTCTCTCCATAAGGACAGACCTTCACCCTGACCATCAGTGTAGACAAGACTTAGACAAGGCTGGTGAACACACTTAGATCCTTTGAGATTTCTTAGAAAGTACATTTTATATGTGTCAGTTCAAAGTAGGTTGCTGGCTTTAATTCAAAAGTCTTGGCATGCTTCTTCTTCCTGGTACAAACTCTAGAAAGGAAGGTTTAGAATGAAATATAACATGGGCTGGGAGGACAGCTTAGAGAGAGGAGAGCACCTGACTCCAAGCTTGAAAACCTGTCTCTGATCCTCATAACTTCGAAGTGAGGTGGAAAAAACGAGCTTCCACAAATTTTTAGTCCCAATGTCATGGTAGACAATCCCCAAGTAAATGTTAAATGCTAAAATGTAATATAAATTTTCTTGAAAGAAAAGGGTAGTTGTTTGTATCATAAATTATGGGGAAATCACAGAACATTACAGAGTGAAGACTGCATTGAAGTAAACATCTGAGCTACTTAGGGAAGCCTTTAGGAAGTACTATGTTAAGAGATGGTAGCACCATGATAAGTTCTAAGCCTGGGACTTTCTCATAAGAACAGGGCCCAGAAGCAACCATGCACATCATCAGTTGCCATAGGAACAGCAAAGAGGATGAACCACGTTTGATGTCCCTGATTAGTACCTAAATATAGACTGCACATAGAAAGCAGTTTGTAGAGTGGCCTTCCTTGAGGTAACAACTACAGCAGGGGACTAAGGGCAGGAAAAGAAAGTGACAATTGTAATGAGGATGACATTGGAGAAGGAGAGGGACAACTGTGTGGAAGACATGCCACCATCGAATCTCCTGTCATATTTGCCTCTCTGGCCTCTTCGGATATGATAAAGTCAAAGCCCAATTATGGGTTGGCATTTCACTAGTCAAACTGGATTCAAGGAAGAAATTAAGGGCAGAGACAATGTTTCACATGCATGATTAAATAAAGTGAAACAATGAAAATATACCATGACACTGGCACGAGGAGATGAGATATGACATGCATGTCAAAAAGAACTAAAAAAAAAATGTACTACAAGTTCTTCATAGAAGTGACAGATACAGCAACTGAACAATGCAGTTTATGCAAAGAAAGATTTCAAACTTAGAAACTAATTAATGACATAAAGCAAGATATTACATTAATTATGATAAACAGTACTTTCTAGATAGAACACAATGACACATTGTGTATGTAGAAAGATAGCTTGGTGGTCAGTCAAGACTATTGGGAAAATAAAGCCATGTCAAAACTACTTAAATGATGACACATATAAAAAGCAACCAAAGTTTCTGAAACTGAAAGTACAAAATTAGAATAGAAAAAATTTATGATGTTAGATGTGTACATTTGAAAAATCTGTGGGAATTGTATCAGAAAGAAAAGTGAGGTAACATTACAGGAAAAATTGAATTCTATGTGTATGACATGTGACTATATCTATTTAAATTATTGAAATCTAAAATTATGAAGAGCTACTCAAGCATCTGGCACAGAAATAAATAGTTCTTTATTAGGAAGGTATCAGCCTGGTAACAGAATGTTCCACTGAGACACACAATGTAACCATGTCTACAGAGTACTGAAGGGACACACTAGCCGCCCTTGTTATTCTGTTGGCCTTCCACTGAATTAGAAAGTCACTATGTGAAAGAACTTGAGAAACAATTGGGAGCTATCATGGTAAAGAGCTTCCTCTTTACCAGGCAGTGGGGAGGCAAATGAAAATGACAGACAAGAAGTGGAGAGGTCGGCATGATGCGATGTTACAAGCATTGGCTCTTTATCATACAGAGAAGAGCAGGAAAGGGCTACACACTGTGACTCCCCATCAAGCTACTTTGTCTTCAGAGAAATAGGTAGACTTAAGTAAATCATAAAGCCAGTTTGAGAATTGACCAGAACTAGGAAGATCTGATGGACCATTACAAAGTCAACGCAGAACATCTGGTTCTGCAATAGCCAATGTGAGCTGACAACTCATGGCTTAGACAGCAAAGACCTCAACTAGTCAGTGTTCCAGTCAGGCTATGGCTGGCGAAAACTTTTCTAATACTCTCCCAGACTAGAACAATGATTGTGTTTGATGAGGTGAGGTAGAAAGTCCTCAGCTTGGTTGGCAGCTTCTAATAGGCAAAGTCTCTGGCTTTCATCTATTGTTTACTCTGTAAACCACAAACACGAGAGCCACCCAGTCCAAAGGCCACATGAAGGCTCTGTAACAGATGCTTAACTCTTTTCTATTGTCATGATTAATCAAGAATACATGTTAAGCAAGTAACCTGAAGGAAGAAAGCTCTATTTTGGACGACAGTTTCAGGTGTGCCAGTCTATGGTGAGCTGGCTCAATTACTCTGGGTCATGTTGAGACAAGAAGTATTGTGGGGGCGGTCATGGCAAGGCAAACATGCTTACCTCATGGTGGCCAGAAAGTAGAGACAAAGAGGAAGGAGCCAGAGACAAGATATCCTTATGGCTCCCCTCCAGTGATGCACTTGCTCCAACTAGGCCCCACTTCCTAAGAGCCCACTGAGCTGTGGACTGAGCCCACTGGGGAGGTGAAAACCCTCACAACTAAATCACTGGCAAATAGCACCAGCAGCTGGGGATCAGCCTTCAACACCTGAGCTAGTCATGGGGACAATCTGTACCTGAACCTTAAGAAGAAATGAATCCCTAACCTAGATAATTTATTGACATGTGAGGCAGAAATGCATACAATAAAAAGGAAGGGCAAAGCCCAAGATGAGTTGGGTTGCACTCCTTACCTTAAGAATACACTTAAGAAAATGTGGGCTGGTGAGATGGCTCTGTAGGTAAAGACACTTGCTGAGAGACAGACAGACAGACAGACAGACAGACAATAATAATAATAAAAACAAAATAAAGTTTCAATTACACCGTGATTCCCACGAAGCCCCTTTACACAAACTTCTCTCTACTATGTGTGCTGAAGAACAAAGAACATAGCCTGCTTGTGCATTCAAAGAGGGCACAGGAGCTTGAAGAAGACTGAAGACCAAGGTGAGCTTATGAGGATCCTGTCAATAATTCACATAGATCTACAAATTCTTTGTACCACCTACACTATATCTGTGGCATCACACACACACACACACACACACACACACACACACACACACACACACACACACACACACACTAAATAAAAAATTATAAAAGTGAGATATCTTGCCCTGCACCCAATATTTTATTGGGGATGCCCCAGTGGCTTCTGTGGCTCCCTTGATTCTTTTGCTAAAGGCCATAAATGACAAACATAAGTAAGTGTCCTCCCAGCTGTAGACCAAGGACTGGTTGGCACAAAGAGTCTTGGCACAGCTTGCTTGCCCTTGCGTGGACAAACTTGAGAGTTTACACAGGCAGAGATGCATTTCCCCAGCACCTCCTTAGTTCCCTGGTACATGTAACTTTGCTCCAGCATCTGGTTTGGGGGAATTTGCATTTGGTCATCTTCAAGTCTGTTCCATAGAACTGTGTATAACAAGGTTAAAATAGACAAAATGAGAGACTTATAGATGGGTCCTCAGTGTTACAGGAGTCTCCCTGCTTTCAGCAAATCACAGAAATATTTATTTAGTCAAATGATCAATATGCAATAGTTTTACCAGCTGCTGTCATGTGTCCCTAAATGACATGGTCTTGTCCTTAAAGGTCCCGAGTAGTCCTTTTTAGATACCTGCCCCCAAGAGAACAGAACAGAACCCTTGATGCTTAATTCCTAGTCTTTAGAACCTCTCATTTTTCATGTAAAAGACTGATTTTCAATTGTTTTAATAAGAGAACTCCTCATTCTTTCCCCCACATGGGCTTGTGAGCAAAAGGCCAACATAGAAAAGCTAGAGACTAATCCACAAGAAAGCCTCTGTCAGTGGGCACCCTGTCAGGCTAGGAGCAGTATAGACCTTTGAGGGCCACTATAGTCATTGCATACATTATTGGCAATATTCAAGAAGAGTTATAATGAGAACTAATGAATTGCTTGTAATTTTGTATGTATAGTTCATGCCCCTCCCCCACTTCTTTACTTTTCTCTTTCATTTCTGCTCTGAAGCCCACAGCATGCAACTCTGTGGCCAACCCTAAGCAATCTCTTTGATCAACTGGATGGAAGAGACTAGACTTGTTGGCGTGGCTACATGCAAAAAGCACTAACTAGATGCCCTTAGGTTATATGAAACTTCCATGCCACCAGTGGCTTCTGATAAAGTCCTCCAGCAGCCAGGCAAAGGCTGGGGATCCTACCGGGAAAACAAAACAAAGGGAAAGAGAATTAAGGCCACAGGTGAAAGTGGCATGATCACATAGTCTTTGGCAGATAGCTAAAACAAACAAACAAGCAAAAACTCAGCATTTTCTTTCTTTTCTCTTTTTGGAGTCAGTTGCCTTGAGCCTGGCTACAGAAAGGAAAGAACTGTTACCAGAAAAGAGCAAAACAATGTGTTTGACCTGGTGCCCACAGTACAGAGCAGGAGGGCCCATGGGCAGGCTAGCTCCTGGGACTCTTGCATAAGCTGGAGCCTCTCTGCTGTGTAATCTTAACAACCTGTATTCAGAGGCAACAACTCAGTCTGGATTCATAGAAAGTAGTTAATTTCTGGTCTCCTAAATACCCTCTAGATGAACCCTTCTTCAAGCACGACAAAAATCCCTTCAGGAATTCCTCTAGACGTGCAGTGGTCAGCATTGCTAAGAAACTCCAAGCCAGGGGAGGGGGGGTCAATTAAAGATTTCCTAAGCTGTTAACACACCTCTTTAATTCTCACAAACTCTTGAGTAGGCACCATTACTAGTGTGTCCCTGACTGATAGATAAGTAAACAGTATTAACGGAACTAAATGGTTCTAAAGGTCTAATAGATCCTGCTGTGGCTGTCACCCACTTGAACAAAACATTTGTAAGAAGCACCTGTGTACTACAAAGTATTATAGCATGAGTTCCAAGTCTGTGTCACCCAAACTTTCTCAAGAACCTAAGTTGAGTTACGCTGTTATCTCCTAGTCTTCCTCTCAGGAGAGGAGGAAACCCCGAAGGACCCACTTACCCAGTTACTAGGACCGCGGCCAGAAACACCAGGAAGCAGGCTGAGATCCACTCCAAAGTCTACAAAGGAAGTGCTTTCATTGGCTGTCCAAGTTGATCCGGCCCCTCTGCTGGGTTAAAGCTAACCCAAGGATCTCTGGGAAATGTAGTTGCAAGGGCCTCACCTGCCCCTGGTGAACTCTTTCTCAAATCCTTTCTTTGAAAAGGAGTGAGGTATCTTGTGAAAGACCTTAGCATTTCACAGAGTTTGTACTCTCTGGGAGCCTGTGGGAGGCCAAGGCTTGAAAAGGGCTCAGGCAAGGCAGATAGATCCAGGATGTAGAGAACTCGCCCAGTTCAGGAATCATCTTTCATCAGTTTCTGTTTTCCTTTTTCTTTCACCTCTCTCTCATCTTCAGTCCTTCTACTCCTCTCACAAAGACACTGTGAAATGTGTGTGACGTGTGCCCATACATGTGCTGTAAACAACAGGACACACGTCATGTGGTTGTACTTCTGCTGTTTTTGATGTATATGAATGATATTGGCAGATAGTGCTTGCTGTTTCTTAGCTGTTTCCTGTACACTGTATTTTAAAGACGCTTCATGACAGAAGCAGTGCTCCGTGTTATCCCTTTGGCACACAGTATTCTTGGATTCTGGGTAGTCAGAATGTATTGTTAGATATCAGCTTCTGGGGGCAGGGGCAGGTGAGGAGCCAGGAGTTCTAGAATCTATATCCCCACTTGCTGACTGCTTAGTCAGGTCACTTTGAGGCATGTACTTCTCAGTGTGGCTCAGTGAGGGATTTTGTTTCTTCTGTTGGTGACAACCATTTGTTGGCAAGCTGCTTGTATAGTTTTATACCTGCACTAGCACTTCCCAACTATCATATGGCTATAAACGAACAACCAAAACAAAACCAATACTTGTAATCCTAGCACTCAGGAAGTGACGGTAGGACAACCAAGAATTCAAAGCCATCCTTTGTTCCTTAGCAGTTTGGGATATATTAGACCGCTCCCCTAAATACAAAGCGAAACAAAAAACCGACCCCTGTGGCAATGTAACCTGTATCTTTGGGAATATCCTAGCCCTTGCTTTTTTGTTACCCTTAATAGGATCATGACCAGTTGAAGACTGACGAATACTGGACTATCCAGTGCTAACATGACCAGCCCTGACATGGGGATCATAGAGGGAGTCCATTCAAGAGCACTCTGGGCTGGATTACTGGGGACAGTTATTAGCATCATGGGAATATAGACAGAGAGGCAACAGTAGGGCTCCAAGGAGAGTTCAGGCCTCAGCTCCAAAGACAGACAGCATGGTGGTGTCTCTGAAGAGAAGAAGGGGGCATGTGGTAGAGGAGGAGCCTCTTCTCAACCCTTTTGAGGATAGGGGAAGTTCACAGCAAGAGGCTGCAGCCAGGATCTCTTGATTCCCAAGCAGGGGTCTAGGAAGGGATGGGGAGGAGGGTGTGTGTGACATCTTTAGCGCCAAAGCCAATGCTTCCCTTGATGTTCATTGGCACCAGGACTTCCTGTTAGCCAGGGACTCTCAGATAAGGCACCTGTCAATCACTATCTGTGGCTGTGAAGTGAAGGCCTCTGCAAGCATTGTGACCTCTGCAAGTATTGTTAGATTCTAACATGACACTATTAGAGAACGCAGTCAGAAAGCAGGAAGTACAGAGAAGTTAAAGATTTGGATTCTGGGGCATCGAGCATGCGGTAGGCAGGGCACATATACAGGATTTTAACCGGAGTGAAGGAAGATGGTGAAACATAGAAGTAATTACCAACATTAGTTATTCATTCCAGAGCAAAAATACTTTTGTGTGTGGTAGTGCTGTAAACCAAATTCTGGGCTTCCAGGCCAGTCGTCTAACACTGAGAATTAAGCCCCTAGCCCTACATTTATGGTCTTTATGTCTAGTGTGGAATGTACATGTCTCAAACTCAGTTTTATTTTTGCATCAGATCCACAAGTTTACCCACTAATGTGCTCAGGGTTTGAACTCTGAGGTCCACTAAGAACCATGTTTGTTTGCTTGCTTGTTTCCTGTTAAGCTAAAGTGTAGCACGGAGTAGAAGAATGTAGCAGGGATATTAAACTAGAATGAAAGGAACACACACCTTACAGGTGATGTATATCTTACCATATCCCAATACTTCCAAGAAACCTTTGAGTCATACTAGCCAATACTATTTTAATGTATTTAGCAATAATATACTTCATAAACAACGTTTTTCAAGGTACCATACATTTTATGAGGCATAAATCACCTAGTTCAAAATATCAGTGTTCCCACATTTTTAAAAAAGTCAAATATAAATAGAACTGTGTCTGCAATATTAACCCTGCAAGAAATTCTAAGCCTTGGCCCCTACTCATGAGCTCCATGCATTGGCTTGAGTTTTGTTTTGAGGACTAGGAAGTTTCCCGGGACTGAAATGATGGCTCATTCTCGTTTGCTTTATTCTGATCCTAGGCTGTGGCTTCTTGTAAACCTTGGACATCAGATTTATTCTGGCTAAATTTAATGCCTGTAGTTCTCTGCTTATTCATAGTCAACTACTAATGTAAGTTTTATGTGAGTTCAACAGTAACAATGTTTGAAGGTTTTCTATTACAAACGAATATGGCTCCCAAGTTAACTGCATCTTCAATAGGAAATTTTTCTATGAGTAATCTTGAAAAGGATTGTGGTTGTATCCATTAACTTTTTATTTAATTATAACTGATTATACTTTTTGGTGAAATAACAGGACAGCTACAATTTCTTTTTTATAAAATGTAGGAAATAGAAGATACAAGTCATTAGTTGATCAATATCGAGCTGGGTGATGATTCTTTAAGTGCTCTTATGGATATATTTGCACATGTTTCAAATGTTTAAGAACATGAAATAATAATAAAAACAATTTTGCTCTTTACGCTAAATACTAAAAGACAGGTTACCATTTTTGGGCACAAACTTTCTCTCTAAAGAAACACCAAATGCCGTTTTCAGTACATCTTCTATTTCTTCCTCACTCACATTCTTAAACTCCACCAGATCTACATTTTCCTTATAACTAAATTTCCTCCTTGCAATAGTGGAGCCTATTAAACAGCAAACCCCTTCTGAGGTTTGCAAGGAACAAAATGATGTGTTTACAAACACAGATACTGGAGACACCTGAAGGTAGGAATTTGCATATTCAAAATCCTCAATAGTGCGGGGCTCAAGAGTAAAAGAATAGATCTTTCGATATGTGTTCTTCTCAAGGAGGTCCGAGTTAACAAATTCTTGGTTTGGAACATACTGCTCTCTTCTGATTTGGTCCAAGTACCAGGTTTCGTTCTCTTCTGTCAAACGGAAGATGGCAGGCACCTGAGGCTGGTCCTTCCCTGATGCTAATTCCACAGGCTCCCACATCTGGTAGGAGCCTCCATAGGCAGCATCAACAATGTAGTTCCTGTCACTGATGGTCACCTGCACTAGAAGGTGAATCATCTCACTGCTGTATTTACTGACTGGAACTATGTAAACATATCCTCCCAACATTGTGGTTTCAAAGCCCATTTTGGTCAGAGCCCAGTACAGGAGATGATTAACCTGGAGACACCACCCACCCCTCTTCTTCCTCACTATGTGGTCAAAAGTAGCCTCTAAGCCCAGATCCATGGCTTCTCCACAATGCATGTTAAGATTTTCAAAAGGAACTGTTCGCATCTGGTGCTGAAGAACTTCAGTTAGTGTGGTCAAGTCCAATTTATTGGCTGAGTTCTTATAACCAATCCTTTCAAAATACGCTTCGATGTCCATGATCCCCTAAGGCAAACAACATGAAACCAACCAAAGATTACAACAGTTCCTCCCGGATGTCCTGGGGTTGGCTAACTGTGGCTAGAATGTACGGCGAACATGTATAAATGAGCAATGCCTATAAACACCTCAACAATCTTATTGCTTCTAATGTATGACTTGTTTTTAAATTCAGTTCATTAAATATTTTCAATGACCCTTGAAAGCGACTTTTGTTATTTCTTGTGCTTTTAAGATTTTGAAGTTAGAAAGTCAGATTAAATGACCAGTCAAAAGACTAACAGCTTAGATGTAGTCTCCATGGTGGTAAATGGTAGACATTGCCATTGGCACCCTGTAAAATAAACTTCTGAACAGTTATTAATTGCAGTGGTTCAAAAGAAAATGGCCCCTAAAGAGAGTGGAGCTTTTAAGAGGTGTGGCCTTGTTGGGGGAAGTGTATCGTTGTGGGAATGGGCTATGAGGTTTCCTTATCTCAAGTTTCCTTCAGTGTGGCAATCAGTCAACTTACCTGCTGCCTTCTGGTCAAGATATAGCCAGCACGACATCTACCTACTTGCTGGCATGCTCCCCATCATGACAGTAATGGACTGAACCTCTGAAATCCATCACCTTAATGTAATGTTTTCTTTGTAAGAGTTGCCATGGTCATGGTGTCTCTTCACAGCAATAGAAACCCTAACTAAGACATTCAAGAAAATGGGAGAATTGTGCAATAGAGAACACAGTGGCGATGATGAGTGGCCCATTGCATCACTCCATGTAACTGAATGTCACCCAAAGCTTCCTACTCAAAGATTTACATCCTTCACTCAACGAATGGGCTAACGACTACCCTCAAGATACTCACTATTGATCTATTGTTTCCTTGCCCTCCAAGATTCTGCATTTTAGTGGGCATTAAAATAATACATAAAGTGAACTGAGTAACTTTAAAAAAAAAAAGCAATCTGGTAACTGTCCACAGGATAACTAAAACAAGGAAAGAGGTACAGGGAGAATTTTCGTTGTGAAATAATGTAGGCAAAGCAAGCCTCACTCCCACTTAAAGGATGCTAGAGAATGGCCCCCATGGATATGTGTGAGGAAGGTGGTTCCTAGCAGAAGCAATAGAAATCCAGGATGACTGGGGCAAAAGGTGACAAGAATGGATTGGATGCGCTCTCACTGTTACCAATGTCTTTAAGGCTAATGGGGACCCTGTGAGCTTTGCTGAAAATGAGATGAAGAGTGTAAATGACAGAAGCCCTAGAGGAGTGTTACACTGTGACAACTTTTGCTGCGGTCGAAATCAGTTTTCTAGCTAAAGGTCCAATAGTGGGTTGTCTATAGCAACCACTATCAACGATCAAATGCAGCCAGTAGTACAAGTTCAAAACAATTACACTCTAGGACTGATGTTTGACTCATGGCATGCTTGTGGTTTAAATGTATCAGTGAGATGTTACTGAGAGACTTATGTTCTGCCGCAGAACCAAACCTATTGAAATGATGAAAAAAAAAAGCAACAATAACAAAGAATATGGGAGGGAAAATGAAGGAATTAGTGCTAAGCTATCAGCTGTTAGGGAATACAAACTCTCCACTCCCTCAAATCATTTCAATCAGTCTATCTAGAAGGTATCTGGTAACCTGCTACCCAGGAGCCTTAATTTCCTCAGACTTGGAATATGATAGAAGAACACGGACCCTGAGATGAACACGTTTACAATGTAGTACACTCTAAAATGACACAGTACACAGGGCCTGGCCCTCAAATCAATGGTGATAACCTAAAACATTTATCTTTACTTCATCACAGGATCTTCTGTTTGTCATACAGCAATCCTTCCCATATTGTCAGGATATACACTTTCTCCATCAGTGATGTCTGCAATGCTTCTCCTAAATCATTAGCTCTGTTATACCATCACCCTTCTTTGGCATTTAGACAACCTCTAAAAATCCATTATTCAGTCCTAGAAAGAACAAGTGTTGTTTGTCAGAACATCCTAAGCTTTCCCTGGCCCCTATCCCAGAATCTGTACTAAGTATGTTAGGAAGAGAGAGGAAGTCTGGAGTAAATGGGAAAAAGTATTAGCTAGTATGCTTTCTATTAGGAAATTATATTTCTTATTTAAGTGCTATATTTACATTTCAGGTTTTCATCTTCTCAGTCCCTGTCTACTTCCTTCTTTCCCACTTCCCTCTTTCTCCATGCATCTTCTTTTTCATTAACAAAATCTTCTTTAGGATAAGATGCCAAACTGTAGAGTACTGATTGAAGCTCCATCAGGATGAAAATTGCTAGGGACCTCAATACTGGTGACATCGTGTAATCAATTCATACTGTGGCTAGCCTGTGCCTAAGCATATTTTAATTACATATTATTGAAGCTGAGATTTAAATGAAATGCTGAAAGCACTTGTAAACTAGTTGCCAAGAAACTCATAAGGGAAACACTGCTGGGTGCACACCATGACTTGCAGCATCTCTGTAAACAACAGACTCCTTCCTCTCCACTTCCTCATCAATACAAGAAGACTGAACATATTAAGGGAGCCCACTGGGAGCTATCAGACTCTTCATACCTGTCCTGCGATGCTCAAAGTAGGCTGATTGTCAGGTTTAATTCAGATGTCTCAGGATGTTTCTTCTTCCTGGTGAAGACTGTAGAAATAAGAAAAATAGCTTCAAATATAGATAACATGGTTTTTCCTTTTAAAAGCATTATCTTTTTACTTATGTCTGTACCACATGCCCACAGGCAGCCATGGAGACAAGAAGAGGGCATCAGATTCCCCTGCTTGTGAGCCACTTGATGTGGGTGCTGGGAACTGAACCTGAGTTCTCTGCAAGAACACTAAGAGCTACTAACTGCTGAGTTATTACTCTAGCCCCAACACAGTTTTTCTTAAAAACAAAATTGTAGCTTTATGTGGCCCACAAGTTTTGAAGAATCCCTAAATATTCTGAAGAGAGGGAGTTGACAAGAAAGTAAGGTGGCATCTGATATACACAGGGACATTTATTCAAAGCATTATTATGAGAGCTGATTACCATGACAGACTGGAAATTGTGAGGTCTAGAAGTCATGAGTCATCTAGCAGTCAAAGCAGATGCCTAATTGCCATGGGACAGCAAGGATGGACACCAAAGCAGCAAGCAGCGATAGTATCTGGTCCTCCTGCAGGAGATGATTATATCTGGAGCAGGAGAACACAGTAACATATTAACAGAGGCAGAGAAGAGAAGAATAACCATTTACACAGAGAATCTCCACGAAAAAGTCTTTTGTCAAATTCATTGTCTTACCCTTCCTCTGGCAAGACTGAGGAGTCCGAGCCTAGCAACAGTCAGACATCACACCAGTGGCAGCAGATTTGAGAAATAAATAAACATAGAGTTAGAATTATGAATGCATGACTATAATGACAAGACAAATGAAAATGCACTATGCTATTGGAGGAGGAAGACAAGACATACATGCCAAAAAAATTTCCCAAACCTAGAAAGACTGGAACCATTAGAAGAAGAAACAGAGCAATAGAAAGAACTTCCTTACAGGTATTTGACAGTACAGAATGTTAATAAGCAAAAGTTAAAATAATCAGATAAAATAATATGTTTGGGGCTAGGAGATGGTTCAGTCTGTAAAGGGTCTGCCCCATAAGCATACACATGAACCAGAGTGTAATTTCACAGCACTGGGAACGAATCTGTAACTGCAGTTATGGGGCAGGGTGGAGAAGGGATCGGAGATAGGTGGATCCCTGGTATTGGCTAGCCAGTTGACCAAATCAATGAGCTCCAGGTGCAGAGAGAGACTTTATCTTGAAAACAAAGTCATTGAAGAAGACACCGGAGGTCAGTCTTCAGTCTCTACATGCATACAGCACATGCCAAATGAATGCATACTTAAGCAAGAAGGAGTGGTAATTTTGTTTAGCTGTTTGTACTTCTCCACCCATAGCAACACAGCAAAATGCAAAATGTAACATGGCAATTTTGGGTGTGAAAAACGGCTTAATTTGTTCAATCTGGAAAGCAAAGAACATGACAGGAAGGGAGCGGCCTCCCCAAATCCTCTTCAAGAGTGCACCCTCAATGGTTTGGCAGGCCGTGGCTTTCAAGTCTTAGCACAAACTGGAATAAAACCTATAGCAATATACTTTTCCACAGTCTTTATTTAAACTACAGTGTTCCTCCCTCAGTCCCACCGGGTTATGTTCCTCTCAAAATGCAACATTTATTTACTCCATATCCTAGACTTCTAAAGTGTAATTGTACAGTATCACTTAAAATGTTCAAGTCAGATTTCTCTTCTAAGACTCCAGGTGGGCTGAGCTGGGGAACTCTGTGCAAATGAAATGAGTTGCGCATAGATAAACAATGTCTCAGGGTTAGATCTCTCATTGCAAAGTAAGGATATAGGACAATAATAAGTAACAATGAAACCAAAGGGAGACCAACATTCCAGAAGGGCAAAGAGTAAGCTCTAACATTACCAGTCAATCACACGTGTCAGTATTCAGATCTGAGTCATGGGAAGGAAACCAGGTTTTATTAAGATATGCTAGCCTTTACATAAGCATATTGCTTTCCTGAATGTTGACCACTATGCTGTTTTTTGACCAGAGGCCAGAAAGAGCACATTATGGTAGTAGAAAGGTTTCCACACCGATGATATGCAAAGACCACAAGACCCTCCAGGGGTTCTGAAAACTAAAAAGGCAGGCTCTTGAACATCTCTGTGAGTTCAAGGCCACCCTGGTGTCCAGAGCAAGTTCCAGGAAAGCCTCCAAAGCAATACAGAGAAACACTGTCTTGAAAAACCAAAAAAAAAAAAAAGAAAAGAAAAAGAAAAAAGAAAGAAAAGAAAAGAAAACGCCACTGATTAAGGTACTGTTACGCGTCTCTGTCCAGTTTCCCTGAACTAGTTGATTTGATAATTTTTTAAGTTATTGTAAGGAGGCTCTTTCAACAGAAAGGCTACATACCCAGTCATGCATAGCTACTTGATTGTCCTTTGGGCCATTCAGGGTATATTGCTTTTTCTTGTCAGCTGAATTAACCCTTTGGTTACAGACGACCCTTATCTCCTGGGCCCTGTCCTATAATCTTCCCTGTAATAGCTTTGTTAAACATTATTTTCATGAAAGCCAGACATTCTTCTTTTAATTACAGAGCAGCATTTGGCAAGTCACTGGCTACTCGCTGGTGTTATGAGGACCAGATGTTTCCAGAGGTTTCTAAAAACCTGACTCGATGTTAGTGGTTAGGCCACCTAGGGCAGTCTTTCTGCCTCCTCGTCTCTTTTTACTGGAGTCATCCACTCTATCCATTAATATTTTAGTCATTCTTTACAAAGTTGCAACATTGTGCAAAGAACTGAAAAACAGGAGGCAATTTTACAAAGCAGAGCTAATTTCAAGACAAGGTGCCCTAAAATACAATGGTAACTTTCTCTTACAGTACATCTCCTTATCCAGGATGTGGGCTCCTAGGGCTTGAAAAACCTCACTCCCATGGTCTTACTTTCTGGCCCACACCAGCATCTCCCAGAGGAGCTTTGCTTGTGGTCTGCAGCTGCCACTCACAGGTATTTTATAGTGCAGCTTCTCTAACTTCCTGGCTGTCCAGGGCAGTCAAGCTTCCCGCTAGCAGATCCATGAGTCAGTCAGTCTGCTAGTCTCTGCTTACATCGCTCCTCCCCTTCTACATGCTGCCTAGTTTTAAGCTGATGGTCAGTTGTCCCTGCTATTTTTGGGCCTGTCCTGAGCCAATTCTTCACAGCAAATGGCATGTGGAGGAACAAGCATTCATGGCATTAGGGAAGTCAGGGAAAGAAGAAAGTGGAGGTCTCAGCATCTAGCTCAAGGGTGTACCCCACACCTGCACACTGACTGCAAAATGGCTCACATGGCTATTCCATCTCCCAGTGGCAGAGTTGGCTTTGGGCCACGAATTTAACACAGTCACCTTTGGAAGACCACGGTATCTCATGTTTAAGAGAAGCTTAATAATTACAGTGAAGGCTAATAAAAGACAACTCCATGCCAGAGTTAGAAGAGAGACAAAAAAGACAAGCCCCTCCTCACCACTGAGCAGGAGAAACTAGAAGTGGGATGGAAAACACATGTAAGGAGAAACAAATGCATGTCTGATGTGGAAAGAAAATGGAAGAAGTTGTACCTGGCAAATATTCTGAAAAAGTGTGGTGCTGAAATACATTCTCATTACATTTTTGGAAGGCAGAAGGAAAGAGAACTGCCTGAGCACGCAGCAAAGAGAGAAAGTACTTCCTAAGAAAGAACTCTCCACCTCGCACCAGAGTGTTCCTCAGCATATTTGGAGGTGAAATAATGAAACTACATCTCTCAGGTATTGAAGGGATGTTGCTGTCATCAAACACTGCACTGTGAGTATGTCACGGAGAGGAAGGGGGCGTCGTGCAAACATCTCAGATGTAACACAAGTGAGAATGGCAATAACTATAAACTATCCCAACGAGGTGCTTCCTCTTCATTGCAGGGACCACAGCAAAGACGAGCCTCTTTGTCTCTTAAGGAACAGAGAAGTCAAAATTGAGGTAAAGACCACTTGCTGCTCTTCCAGAGGATCTGGGTTTCAGTTCCCAGCATTCACTTAGTCACTCACAATCATATATGACTCCAGTTCTAGGGCATCTGATACTCTCTTCTGGTCTAAGCAGGTATCAGGCATGTACATGGTGTACAAATATGCACGCAGGGAAAACACCCACATGCATAAAATAAAATAAAAATTAGGGGCTACGCAGCATAACTCAGTTGAGTGCTTACCTAGTATGCACGAAGCCCTCACTTGCATCCCCAGTGTCACAGAGACAAGGTGTAGAAGCCTATGCCTGTGATGCCACCACTCCTGAAGTGGAGGTAGGAGGATGAGAAGTTCAAGTCATATTCAGGGAGTACAAGGCCATTCTGGTACCCAAGAAACCCACATCAAAACAGACAAAATCAAAAAATGAAACCCAAAGACCATGAATGACCAGAACAAGAAAGATCTGGTCCGGTACTGTCACACTGGAACTATCAAAAGATAAATGTAGGGGCATTCAAATTAAATAGCTTATTTGAGTAGACAACAATTGAGAAAGCAAGCCAGAAGCACCAGATCCCGAGCAGTTCTACATTCCAAAGGGGCTGTGGCTGGAGACAACTTTCATAACACCCAGGCAATGCAAAGGAAATATATTCAATTAATTAAAGTAGATGGTCCTTGGATTCCAAGGCTTCTGACTGGAACCTCAGCCAGCATGCACTCTAATAGCTTCTCAAAAATTGTGGGACAGAACTTACTCTGATTAAGCTACTGCAGTGCACGGTAATGGGTGTTAAGGCATAAAGAAATAGGGAGGGTTGGAGCTGTTCAAAAGTTGGCGAGAACACTCCTTGCCCAAGCAATCATAAAATCTTTAAAAAGCATACAGAGGGACTCAGATGAAACCTTTCTGACCTGCTGGCCTCTAGGACGGGCACAGACGGTAAGCAATCAAGCATTTGGAGCCCGAACACTGAGGGCACCGGTGAATTGGGCAGAATTCAGGATGGAGTCCTTGTTTGGACTGATGGGGTGGGGTGGG